CCTGATGTACAGGGAGATTTGGAAAGAAATAGGGAGACGAGGAGGAAATAAAGTTAGAATGGACGTTAGTTGCCGAATAGGTAATAGGATGCGTCAGCAAAAACATACTTTGGAAGAGAGATCCCGTCGTCTCCAAAATAAGCGCCGGTCACAGGAAACGTCGGAAGAGAGATCCCGTCGACTCCAGAACGCCCGTGAGCGGCAGAGTCAGCGCCGGTCCCAGGAAACGTCAGGACAGTCCAGAACGGCCATGATCGGCAGAGTCAGCGCCGGTCCCAGGAAACGTCAGGACAGACATCCCGTCGACTCCAGAACGCCCGTGATCGGCAGAGTCAGCGCCGGTCCCAGGAAACGTCAGGACAGACATCCCGTCGACGCGCAGAAAAACGAAATCTGCAGCCTCTTTTGTGGTCGCACAGGATACGTATTTTTGTATTATTGTATTGTATCGTAATGTATGGAATATAATTTTACCTCATTGGCTCAACAGGTCAATGTATGACTACAAAAGGCCAGAAAATCCAATGTCTGTATTAAAATCAACTAATTTTCGCTGGCGATTTAATTTCGCTGATTTCGCCGCTTGGCACCAACCGGCCAAAGTAAATCGCATGCCAAAGTTTGTCATAGAGGCAAATGATGCATGATTGAGCAATGGATGCATGTTAGAGCAAAAAATACCGATTGATTTCTTTTTGAAAACTCCAATCGGCCAAAGTTTAATGACGGCGAAAAGTTTGGTTTCTCACCGGCCAAAATTTCCAAAATTTGAAAGAGATAAAAAGAAAACAAGGTGCAAACCAAAAGTGGATGAAATTAGAGAAATAAAACAACCCGCAAAAAATTCTGCAAATACTTTTGCCTAACTCATATTCAAAATGTTGAGTCACCTCCATCATTACACTGCGCTCTTTAGCCGACTAGACCTTCCTGCACACAACCATCACCATTGCGAGGACACTTCTGTAGAGGATATTGATAAAATCCTTCAGACAGCTGTTTCGCTAATACATAGCTCATCAGTGAAGTTAGATGTTGAATGATTAGAAAATATGGACCAAACTGCTAATATATAGGGGGTTTCCACATACAAAACTGGCATAGCTGAGGTAATAACGCAGGAAAAGGAACTTGTTTTGTCCCTCTGTAATAATATGATAGGTGCGCCGTTAGCGTCAGAGCAAGAAGAGGGACAAGACGAGCCAAGGGACAATCCTGAGGACGCAATACCATACGACCAACTGTTTGTTTCGACCAGCGTTGTTGTACCGTCGACACAGCTCTGACGATGATATACTGGGCGCGGGGCCTCCCAGGGTGTCAGCGGCAGTGGGTGATGGGCAGATAACAAGGTAGCTTGCGGACAATATCGTTGGCATGAAGCCTAGTGACTGCCAAGCGTCTTGGCGCGACGGGCGAGAAGTACAGTGTCATGCCCCAGGGGCTGATGTGGCTGTCGACGTCGGCGGGTCGTGAGGTGCGTTCGCAGACCTTCATGGCGCTCGGTCAACTGCAATACTAGTACACAGACTCTCACTAGCTACATAGTACTCTGATTCTGGCCCGTTATTTCTGCATTGAATAGTGATTGATTTTCCGCGCCGAATTTTCGACGCTGCATGCATGTCCAATGCGCGTCAACAGTACTTCACACTTTCCTTTTCCCGCGTTATCACCTCAGCTATGCCAGTTTTGTATGTGGAAACCCCCGATATAGTAGCAGTTTGGTTTATATTTTCTAATCATTCAACATCTACCCTCACTGATGAGCTATGTATTAGCAAAACTGCTGTCTGTAGGATTTTATCAATATCGTCTACGGAAGTGTCCTCGCAATGGTGATGGTTGTGTGCAGGAGAGTCTAGTCAGCTAAAGAGCGCAGTGTAATGATGGAGGTGACTCAACATTTCTACAATGGCCGAGAGCTCTGTCGCACCCTGTAATAATAACTCGTTAATAAAACGTTTTTGCAATATAATGATGTGGCCAATCAACGGAAAAAAACATTTCCATCAGTTCCAATAACATGTACAATGAGCTAGGCAAAAAAGCATAAAAGCATAGCGTAGGGCCCTGAGCTTCCAAGCTCTCCCGTTCCGTGTTTGTTTGTTTGTTTGTGCCGTTGGCATGCCTGGCGCTATCCCGTACCTGTCCTGTACCATACCATCAAAGACAGATGGCCATGGCAACAATATTCAAATAGGGCTTTTAAATGCAAGATCATAACGTGAAGCAACTTGGAAGAATGAGTATGTATGCGAAGTGTATCGGGGATTGCATGCAGGGCGATAGTGCGTGTTCGAATCCTAGGTTATGTCTTGAAAAAACATTAGGAGAAATGAAAAATTTATAACATTTTGCCTAGATCATCAGGGTGGCAGACGGTGTAGTATTACCCTCGACTGCAAAGAGAAAGTTTGATGTAGCCAATCAATGAAAAAAAAACATTTACATCAGTTCTAATAACATGTATGGTGAGCTAACCAAAAAACATAGCGTAGGGCCCTGAGCTTCCAAGCTCTCTCGATGGGATCGTTGAATATGTAATAGTGTGTAGAGGTGTTGGTAGTTGGCAATGTGTGGGTGTGGCTATGCATGGTAGTTGGTAATGTGTGGGTGTGGCTATACATGGTAGTTGGTAATGTGTGGGTGTGGCTATACATGGTAGTTGGTAATGTGTGGGTGTGGCTATACATGGTAGTTGGTAATGTGTGGGTGTGGCTATACATGGTAGTTGGTAATGTGTGGGTGTGGCTATACATGGTAGTTGGTAATGTGTGGGTGTGGCTATACATGGTAGTTGGTAATGTGTGGGTGTGGCTATACATGGTAGTTGGTAATGTGTGGGTGTGGCTATACATGGTAGTTGGTAATGTGTGTGTGTGGATATACATGGTAGTTGGCAATGTGTGGGTGTGGCTATACATGGTAGTTGGTAATGTGTGGGTGTGGCTATACATGGTAGTTGGTAATGTGTGGGTGTGGCTATACATGGTAGTTGGTAATGTGTGGGTGTGGCTATACATGGTATTTGGTAATGTGTGGGTGTGGCTATACATGGTATTTGGTAATGTGTGGGTGTGGCTATACATGGTAGTTGGTAATGTGTGGGTGTGGCTATACATGGTAGTTGGTAATGTGTGGGTGTGGCTATACATGGTAGTTGGTAATGTGTGGGTGTGGCTATACATGGTGGTTGGAAATGTGTGGGTGTGGCTATACATGGTAGTTGGTAATGTGTGGGTGTGGCTATACATGGTAGTTGGTAATGTGTGGGTGTGGCTATACATGGTAGTTGGTAATGTGTGGGTGTGGCTATACATGGTAGTTGGTAATGTGTGGGTGTGGCTATACATGGTAGTTGGCAATGTGTGGGTGTGGCTATACATGGTAGTTGGTAATGTGTGGGTGTGGCTATACATGGTAGTTGGTAATGTGTGGGTGTGGCTATACATGGTAGTTGGCAATGTGTGGGTGTGGCTATACATGGTAGTTGGTAATGTGTGGGTGTGGCTATACATGGTAGTTGGTAATGTGTGGGTGTGGCTATACATGGTAGTTGGTAATGTGTGGGTGTGGCTATACATGGTAGTTGGTAATGTGTGGGTGTGGCTATACATGGTAGTTGGTAATGTGTGGGTGTGGCTATACATGGTAGTTGGTAATGTGTGGGTATGGCTATACATGGTAGTTGGTAATGTGTGGGTGTGGCTATACATGGTAGTTGGTAATGTGTGGGTGTGGCTATACATGGTAGTTGGTAATGTGTGGGTGTGGCTATACATGGTAGTTGGTAATGTGTGGGTGTGGCTATACATGGTAGTTGGTAATGTGTGGGTGTGGCTATACATGGTAGTTGGTAATGTGTGGGTATGGCTATACATGGTAGTTGGTAATGTGTGGGTGTGGCTATACATGGTAGTTGGTAATGTGTGGGTGTGGCTATACATGGTAGTTTACCACAGTGTAAACGTGATTGTAGTGATTTTACATAATATATTTAAACTCGGATACTGAGCCAGTAATAAAATGTAAAAAATAGAAGAAACACATGAGAACGAGTTATGCATAACTCGTTCTCATGCCTTTCTTCTCTTTTTTACATTTGTTTACTGGCTCAGTATCCGAGTTTAAATTGTGCACACCTGATGAGCCGTCACTAACAACACCGCAAAACGTACGTCGTGTGGAACTACTTGTTATTGTAGTCAACTCGTCCACAATAGTGTCGTGCATGAGGAGTACCGTTAGATATTGGCGTCCGGTTTTGTACAATTCGTCTTCGCAAAGCTTCCCCTTTCCTTTATCTTCGATATTGCTGACCCACCCAAGTTGGGTGGTGTGTTGCTTTGCTGCTTAAAATTGTAGTCAGACCACTTTGTCATGTTATTAACTGGTCTCATCATCGTCCTGTAATAGTCGGCATTCTTTGTTGCCGCGGGACGTAGCTTGTGCACATTTTCCCTGCGCTCACCTTCCCCTCTTCGGTCCTACGTAACCATGAACCTTCCAAGTTGGAAGGATGTTGGTTTGCGCACTGGAGATGTGTTAGAGCTAGGTCTCGGGTCGCTGAATGTCTCAGTGGCCTGTCAGTTTTGTGCCCTATTATCCAACTTTCTGACCGTTTATCATCTCGTTACAGTCGTGGATAGTTGCTGCATAACTCGTTCTCATGTGTTTCTTCGCTTGTTTACATAATATATTGATTATTATTTTCAAGGATTCTCCAGAACCAAATGGATTCCTATCAAGGGGAGGCTCCTGGGGAAAGAAAGTGAAGGTGGCTGATATGAAAGAGGGAGGAAGGGACATGATAAAGTCAATAATAAAAATAATGCAAACAGGAACAGTAGAAGCTAGTTGCAAAATTTCGGTATACCTTGCACAGAATACTTGGGATTCAGATTGTGTCTACACACAGCAACAGTAAAGCGGTCAACAGATGTCAGACAGCGGATTTCTTCTGGCAGCTTATTCCAGTGTGTGTTGCTGTGTTTCAGGTAGCCGTGTGGTGACAACATTGGTGAAGGCTATTGTTACCAATGGAGCAAGAGTCCAGCAAGGATGAGAGCTCCGGCCGCCAATCCCAACAACCTGCTGGTGGCACTGGTGAGTGAAATGATTGCTTTAGCTTATGGAGGAACAAAACTGTGGGACTTGATTTCAAGGGTCATTGCAGAGTCCACTGCTTTTATTGGCGTTCGGTTAGAGCAAGTCGGACATATTCATTCGTACGGCTCCATATGAGAGGCAGTGGAACTCGGATAAGAGGTACTGCCTCGGGAGTGGAAAAAAACTTAGTAGAGAGGTTCTGCAGAGCAAACGTTCGCATGGATTTCGCGCCTAGGCTTGCGAATATTTCTGCGAATGTTCACGTGAAGTTTGTGTTTTCCATGATTTTCGCTCCAAAAAAATACGAGCGCACTCATGCTTATTTGACAAGCCGTCTTCGGTAGATCTACCGAGCTTCATCCGACTGAGAATTTATTTGCTACGAGTGGCTGCACCCTGAGACAAGAGCTTTTTGACTATGTTGTCGATAGCCGAAGACCCACAGACACACAGGTTGGCCTGTGCCGCAATCCGGCGCATCAATATCTGCAAATCCTGAAAAAACATCACCGACTCTGAGAAAATGAGCAGATCGGAGATCGGGGATGGTTACAGATATGAAGCAATGTTGGCTGCAATATTGGAAAACCAGTACCAGCGACCAAGCCAAGAGTAGATCTTCTGGATTGTGAAAGATTAAGCACATAACATTGCATGAGAGTGGTTCGCCATTGCACTGCACTAGTCTGCGACCGTTTCGCCTTGTTGCTAGAGCCCTAGCAGCAGTACCCTATCAAAGAGATAAACAAGAGGCCTGGCAAAATGACTCCTGACTACAACATCATACATCCACATGCATACTTGCCTAGACAAAGACAGTTTGGGGAATGTCATTACAACTAACATCACTAGGTAGTTCTAGAACAGCCTGCGTGTCTGCAAGTGCCAAGGGGTGTGGGTATGTGTGATGCACTAAGTATGCATGTGCATAACAACACAATGCTTGCTATCCACTGCTCACTATTTTGCTTTCATAATTATAGAGGTATTATGTTGTGCAGTGCACATGACAGACCTACTAAAACCTACCCCTAGTCAAGTTTGTGTACCAGAAAGCAGTTATCTAGGTCTGCCAGTGCTGAACACACTTTACAGTCCCTATATCGTCACTGCTATAACACTAGTAGAGCCTGGCTGGCTTTGATGTAGATCAGTCCAACCTTTCGACCTAGGTCCAACCGATGGTGACTTTGCCAACAAGTGATTCATTAGTTTTCAAAGATGTCATGTTGACAGATACATGTTTAGCAGAAGAAGATGCTGCGCTCCCTGTCCCAGTATTTATCTATAAACCATGCAATCCTGGTATTTACCTATACACCATGCAATCCCAGTATTTACGTATACACCATGCAATCCCAGTATTTACCTATACACCATGCAATCCCAGTATTTACCTACACACCATGCAATCTCAGTATTTACCTACACACCATGCAATCCCAGTATTTACCTACACACCGTGCAATCCCAGTATTTACCTACACACCATGCAATCCCAGTATTTACCTATACACCATGCAATCCCAGTATTTACCTACACACCATGCAATCCCAGTATTCAACTATACACCATGCAATCCCAGTATTTACCAATACACCATGCAATCCCAATATTTACCAATACACCATGCAATCCCAGTATTTACCTACACACCATGCAATCCCAGTATTCACCTACACACCATGCAATCCCAGTACTTACCTACGCATCATGCAATCCCAGTATTTACCTATACACCATGCAATCCCAGTATCTACCTACCCACTATGCAATCCCAGTATTTACCTACACACCATGCAATCCCAGTATTTACCCGAACACCATGCAATACCAGTATTTACCTACACATCATGCAATCCCAGTATTTACCTACACACTATGCAATCCCAGTATTAACCTATACACCATGCAATCCCAGTATTTACCTACACACCATGCAATCCCAGTATTTACCTACACACCATGCAATCCCAGTATTTACCTACACACCCCGCAATCCCAGTATTTACCTACACACAATGCAATCCCAGTATTAACCTACACACCATGTAATCCCAGTATTTACCTACACACCATGCAATCCCAGTATTTACCTACACCTTGCAATCCCAGTATTTACCTACACATCATGCAATCCCAGTATTTACCTATACACCATACAATCCCAGTATTTACGTATACACCATTCAATCCCAGTATTTACCTACACATCATGCAATCCCAGTATTAACCCTTTAAGAGCCACAGGAAATTTTCAAAATTCTGCATTTTTTCGTGTTCCTCGGATCATAGCTTCAGTTCTACTCACTCAATCCTCACAATCTAGGGCGTCCTGGAACGGTCTCCGCGAGAGGAAGAGAATGAGGTTGATCATGATAGCCAGCACACCGTCTATCCAGCGCTAGATCGCAGCGAAAGTACGAAAAATGCCCCAAATGCGTCCAATTGCGTCCCGCTCCAGATATTTCATTTCACTCGATCGTGGAGTTCCAATTTTTTTGCTGTGTACTCTTGACAATATCAACAGTGAAACCCATGCAAATTCGAGTAAACCAGCATGACGAAAAGTCTCAAAATTCTCAATACTAAAGTTGCACTGCGCGCTTTTGAAATAGCCGCGATCGAGGCTCAACTTACGAGTGATTTATCTCAGGAACCGTTCCTCGCAGCGCTTCGCGGACTGTTTCTCCCGACAGGTGAGAGTTTTCTTTTTGCCCTGGATATTTTGATCGATGGATTTGAGCGAGATTGGACTGAGTTACGATCTTTTGAAGTTTTGCATTTGAATGCGTCGTTTACGACGCATTCAAGTATGGGGCGGCTCTTAACCCTTTCACCACTGTCGACGTATATATACGTCATGACGTGTGCACCTGCCCCACTGACGACGTATATATACGTCTTCAGTGTACGTCGCGTTTGTACTGATGCCTCAACATCAGTGGGGCCTGGAACTGTTCCTCAGTGGGCTGAAGGCCCTGGTCGACGTGTATGCAGCGTATGTGGCCAGTCTGCACAGCAGAACAGCCGCGAGCATCGAGTTTGAAGTGCGTATGTTTGGCATATCGTTCAAATAAATTGTTTTGCTCAAAGTTCGTTTTCGTCATCTTGCCCTGCTGTTTCTCGGCAAGGTAAGTAGCTCAACTACTCTGTGTCGATGGAAGGAGTCCTGTGAAGCAGTGTGAGGCGGGTAATGACTCTGAGGATGATTCTGGAGACAGCGAAATTGTGTTGGAGTCGTTTTCTGAGGATTACGAATTTGCTGCTATTCAAAATATCGCAGCTGACTCGGACGCAGGGGATGCTGGAGACCAAAGAGATTTGGAAAGCGATGCTGAAGTCTCTGACACCTAGGCATGGTGTTCTGAGCAGGAGCTATCTGTCGTGAGCCCGTTTGCTGAAGTTCCTCAAGTAAACTGCGATCAAATTTGAAGGTCAGATTTTTGAAATATTTGAATTTGAAGTCAAGTGTACTGGTCAGACATACATGCAGATCACAATAGAGATGTACATACATGTAAGTATTGTATGTTGAGTACAGAGCCAGGCACCTACAGGATGGAGATTGCTATCTAATATGAATCCAGAATAATCCAGAATAGTCAACAATTGTGCAATTTTGAATCACTATCAGAACTATCGGCACAGCCGATTGTTTCTTGAATTTTCATGCGTACGTACACCAGTACGCAGTATGCACTCGGCTGTTTAGGGAATGCTCCAGTCTATTTAGATAGCTGGGTTGTCTTGCCAGTGAGTGTCCAAATCAGAGAATGAGCAGCACTGCATTCTCCATCAGTATGACTTTACCTGTGCCGCGTACGTACGTACGCGTGCGGCCAGAGATGAATCACCCTGGGATGTGCCGAGCACAGTGAGCTAACCGCTGCCACTGCACCGGCTGTTATTATAGCTGATGCAGTTGCTGTGGCTGCTACTCCAATTACTCGGCATCTTCACTGTCCATCATATGGTTTTGTCTTGAAGTAGGTAGGGCTGCTGGAGGATTCAAGCTTTACGAGGCGCCCAAGAAAAAGAAAGACCCATTCTGGATCGCGAAGTCGCATATGATGCAAGCGCCGTATAAAACGAGTTGCTGTACTCTAGTCTAGGTTGCCGTAGAACACCAGGATCATATCAAGCATGTTATATGACATTTCTCCATTCTGAAGTCAACACTGGCCAGTTATAGCACTGCTTGCCATTGCTTGTCTGATCTTTGTCGTCAATTGCCCAAATAATGAATTTTGAGGAAAAATCGCCTAAAGTCGCATATCTAAATATGGTGTTATGAGTCTCGTACAATGAAATCCTACAAAATTTCTTTGGATTCACAGTGCATATGTCCATACCCAACATCTCCAATCATTTTTGGACCAGAATATTCATTTTCAAAAATTGCCATTATTGGCCCAGTGGGAGGTGATTTTCCGGTCAGGGCTGAAAGGGTTAAAGGGTTAACCTATACACCCTGCAATCCCAGTATTGACCTATACACCATGCAATCCCAGTATTTACCTATACACCATGCAATCCCAGTATTCACCTACACACCATGCAATCCCAGTATTTACCTTCACACCATGCAATCCCAGTACTTACCTACGCGCCATGCAATCCCAGTATTTACCTACACACAATGCAATCCCAGTATTTACCTACACACCATGCAATCCCAGTATTTACCTACCCACTATGCAATCCCAGTATTTACCTACACACCATGCAATCCCAGTATTTACCCGAACAACATGCAATCCCAGTATTTACCTACACATCATGCAATCCCAGTATTTACCTACTCACTATGCAATCCCAGTATTAACCTACACACCATGCAATCCCAGTATTTACCTACACACCATGCAATCCCAGTATTTACTTACACACCATGCAATCCCAGTATTTACCTATACACAATGCAATCCCAGTATTTACCTACACACCATGCAATCCCAGTATTTACCTACACACCATGCAATCCCAGTATTAACCTACACACCATGCAATCCCAGTATTTACCTACACACCATGTAATCCCAGTATTCACCTACACACCATGCAATCCCAGTATTTACCTACACCTTGCAATCCCAGTATTTACCTACACATCATGCAATCCCAGTATTTACCTATACACCATGCAATCCCAGTATTTACCTATACGCCATGCAATCCCAGTATTTACCTACACACCATGCAATCCCAGTATTTACCTATACACCATGCAATCCCAGTATTTACCTACACACCATGCAATCCCAGTATTTACCTACACACCATGCAATCCCAGTATTTACCTATACACCATGCAATCCCAGTATTTACCTACACACCATGCAATCCCAGTATTTACCTATACACCATGCAATCCCAGTATTTACCTACACACCATGCAATCCCAGTATTTACCTACACACTATGCAATCCCAGTATTAACCTGCACACCATGCAATCCCAGTATTTACCTATACACCATGCAATCCCAGTATTTACCTAAACACCATGCAATCCCAGTGTTCATCTACACACCATGCAATCCCAGTACTTACCTACGCACCATGCAATCCCAGTATTTACCTACACACCATGCAATCCCAGTATTTACCTACACACCATGCACTACCAGTAGTTACCTACACATCATGCAATCCCAGTATTAATCTACACACCATGCAATCCCAGTATTTACCTATACACCATGCAATCCCAGTATTTACCTACACACCATGCAATCCCAGTATTTACCTACACACCATGCAATCCCAGTATTTACCTACACACCATGGAATCCCAGTATTTACCTACACACCATGCAATCCCAGTATTTACCTACACACCATGCAATCCCAGTATTTACCTATACACCATGCAATCCCAGTATTTACCTACACACCATGCAATCCCAGTATTTACCTACACACCATGCAATCCCAGTATTAACCTATACACCATGCAATCCCAGTATTTACCTACACACCATGCAATCCCAGTATTTACCTACACACCATGCAATCCCAGTATTTACCTACACACCATGCAATCCCAGTATTTACCTACACACCATGCAATCCCAGTATTTACCTTCACACCATGCAATCCCAGTATTTACCTACACACCATGCAATCCCAGTATTTACCTACACACCATGCAATCCCAGTATTTACCTATACACTATGCAATCCCAGTATTTACCTACACACCATGCAATCCCAGTATTTACCTACACACCATGCAATCCCAGTATTTACCTATACACTATGCAATCCCAGTATTTACCTTCACACCATGCAATCCCAGTATTTACCTACACACCATGCAATCCCAGTATTTACCTACACACCATGCAATCCCAGTATTTACCTATACATTATGCAATCCCAGTATTTACCTACACACCATGCAATCCCAGTATTTACCTTCACACCATGCAATCCCAGTATTTACCTATACACTATGCAATCCCAGTATTTACCTACACACCATGCAATCCCAGTATTTACCTACACACCATGCAATCCCAGTATTTACCTTCACACCATGCAATCCCAGTATTTACCTATACACTATGCAATCCCAGTATTTACCTATACAAGATGCAATCCCAGTATTTACCTACACACACTATGCAATCCCAGTATTTACCTACACACCATGCAATCCCAGTATTTACCTATACACCATGTAATCCCAGTATTTACCTATACACCATGCAATCCCAGTATTTACCTACACACCATGCAATCCCAGTATTGACCTACACACCATGCAATCCCAGTATTTACCTACACACCATGCAATCCCAGTATTTACCTACACACCATGCAATCCCAGTATTTACCTACACACCATGCAATCCCAGTATTTACCTTCACACCATGCAATCCCAGTATTTACCTACACACCATGCAATCCCAGTATTTACCTACACACCATGCAATCCCAGTATTTACCTACACACTATGCAATCCCAGTATTAACCTGCACACCATGCAATCCCAGTATTTACCTATACACCATGCAATCCCAGTATTTACCTAAACACCATGCAATCCCAGTGTTCATCTACACACCATGCAATCCCAGTACTTACCTACGCACCATGCAATCCCAGTATTTACCTACACACCATGCAATCCCAGTATTTACCTACACACCATGCACTCCCAGTATTTACCTACACATCATGCAATCCCAGTATTTACCTACACACCATGCAATCCCAGTAGTTACCTACACATCATGCAATCCCAGTATTTACCTATACACCCTGCAATCCCAGTATTTACCTACACACCATGCAATCCCAGTATTTACCTATACACCATGCAATCCCTGTATTCACCTACACACCATGCAATCCCAGTATTTACCTACACACCATGCAATCCCAGTATTTACCTATACACCATGCAATCCCAGTATTTACCTACACACCATGCAATCCCAGTATTTACCTACACACCATGCAATCCCAGTATTTACCTATACACCATGCAATCCCTGTATTCACCTACACACCATGCAATCCCAGTATTTACCTACACACCATGCAATCCCAGTATTTACCTATACGCCATGCAATCCCAGTATTTACCTACACACCATGCAATCCCAGTATTTACCTATACACCATGCAATCCCAGTATTCACCTATACACCATGCAATCCCAGCATTTACCTATACACCATGCAATCCCAGCATTTACCTACACACCATGCAATCCCAGTATTTAAATATACACCATGCAATCCCAGTATTTACCTATACACCATGCAATCCCAGCATTTACCTACACACCATGCAATCCCAGTATTTACATATACACCATGCAATCCCAGTATTCACCTATACACCATGCAATCCCAGCATTTACCTACACACCATGCAATCCCAGTATTTACCTATACACCATGCAATCCCAGTATTTACCTATACACCATGCAATCCCAGTATTTACCTATACACCATGCAATCCCAGTATTTACCTATACACCATGCATTTTTACCACATATTAGGAGACATTGCTTTTCCATGTGCTTCTGTTTGTACTGTAGCAATGGAAGCAGCATCTGAAGAGGAGAGTAAGGACAAGTATCAACCACCAGATCTGGCTGAGTACGGTGATCACTACTTCTCAACCAATGCACCTCATCCAGACCTGGTGAGAGCATGTGAAGATGACGATGTGGAACAAGTCCGACAAACCGTGAATATCGGCACTCCAACTGAACCTGTTACTAGACCGGATCTCTTGGAACAAGTGCCGGAGTCATACCTTTCCGTTTGGCTTAGTCGAAGGAGAATTTCCATGACAGTCATGGTAAGTCAGAAGTATCTCCTTCCTCCCCCCAAATGAATGATGCTTTGCCAGTGTCGCACAACAGCAATTTTCAACTCTCAAACTACTTCTTCCGTGTACTAAAACTTCGTGACTTTTTTTAACGTTGTCTTTGAGCAGGAACCTGCTCAATGAACGGCACCAAAGGCTGTCATCGACAACCCACGCTCATGTCGAGGTTAGTTTGGTTGATCCCGAACAGATTCTCCACGGACGCCATGCGTGTGAGGACGTTGCCGACAGAAACTCAAGAGTCAAATTAAAAAAAACTAACACTTACTTGCTCGAAACTGACACAGTGACGAAGTGAAGCTCGTGGCTGGAACACGGAGTCACGTGGCACTCGCTGCCCCGAAGCTGGCCAGGCTCGTATTTGCGGTGCGCGGCCCCATAGAGCTATGCAGCGTGAGAACATAAATTTGTTTCGCTCGCATGGCAAGATAAAACATTTCAGTCATCGTCCAACCAGCGCAGGCTCCGGATCAGAATGTCGACTGCCTGGCTTTCTTCGCCTCTCTTCAATCAGACGTCTCCTTTGCCGCCAAGGGGAATCGCAGGGACCTCCTCGAAGCCATTGTAGAATGCTTGGGAGGATTATCCCGGCGAGAAAATGCGAAGCGTGTGGATGTGCTTGTACGACTTGTTTCACCGCATAATGGAGGTCGCGGGTTGGAACGACTGAATATAGTCGACACCGATTCGTACACAGCTCTAGAGATGGAGAGGACGTAGCCAAAGTCCAGCGTCGGATCATCACTGCAGGTGACAAGAATCTGACCAAAATGCGAGCGGAAGCAGCGACTTTTGGCGATGCCGAGTCAGTGTAGTCAGGTGACATTGACATAAGGGACGAAGATTCTAAAAAAACTCAATCTCGTTCGTTTGAGTTGCTATTTCCTTTGTATATAGCTTGTAAATATGTCAGAAAATGCCACGAGTGTTATTCCGAGTCAAACGGAACAATCCCAGAGCTGTGCGCAGCTTTAAAAAAAGTCACGAAGTTTTTGTATACGGAGGAAGTAATTACAACTTGCAATTGATTTCAATGGCTTTTAGAGGTTAAGAGGTGCATTAGTGTAGGGCTGCAACGGGTAGGGGTTTTGTCGGGTAACGGGTCCGGGTATTTTATCCGGGTAGCGCGGGTACCCTATCGGGTATTTTTGACACAGTTTGTACTGTGAGTGTGCACTTGCGCTCCATAGAAATTGTACAGCAGCATGTACATATAGCCATGCTATTTACATGCACCGTTGCAAAAACACTGTACTCCAACCACCCGATCGGGTTCTCAGGAGAAAAATGGATACCCTACTACTTCATCCGGAAAGAAAAACTTCGTGACTTCGTGACTTTTTGACATTACTTTTCATCAAGATTTCAAGGAGTTACTGAGCTCAACAAAATTGTTCTTTTGGAAGAGAAACACTTCAACACATTCAATCGACATTTCTACAATATCTACAGGATCGATTAGTCGGAGTAGAGTCTCAGTCTGGGTTGCCATCGCTCGACTCATCACCGCTGAAACCGTTCCAAGTCGAAGGTCGATTACCGCGATGTCGTATGTCACGGAGGAGCTTCTCCATGTCCCTGATCGTCTTCGCTGTTACCTGGATGCCTTCCTGTGATGATATTGTAACTATATCATTTGGTGCCATTAAATATCCCTATACATATAACTATAACCTTCCAATCCTCATATTCACACCTGTCCATATATGACATTAGAATAGCATGCTGCGTTCTACTTCCCGTACTACCGGTACCTTTTCTAATACTCACATATTGTACAACTTTATAGTTAACCACACCAAGATAAATAACATGGATGACAGCCCTTCAGCGTTAGTTGTCGGTTAGCCGAACAAGAGTGAGTTGTTGGTTTGTCCTCTCCATCACATGGTGTCAGAAGTGGTCCAGTCACTGTGTGTCAGTACTGCGTACCTCCGTAGTTGCTGAAAGTTTGCGTATTTTTATTTCTACTTTTTCGATTTTTCGAGTTCGTTGGGCCGCAAGTGAGCTAGCCATGGATCTCGAGTCGTTGGCGTTTGCTCGCCACGAGCAGTTGATGGACATCTGCCGGGGGCTGCATCTCCCCACCGGTGGTGCACGCTCTGATTTTGTGCGGCGGATCCTGTCCGTATCGCACAGCAGTGCGCGGATGGATCGGGAGATCAACACTGATTTCGAGGAGGTGGCCCCGGATGATGACGAGCTCATTGGCTTACCTGATGAGCTAGCCATGGATCTCGAGTCATTGGCGTTTGCTCGCCACGAGCAGTTGAGGGACATCAGCCGGGGGCTGCATCTCCCCACCGGTGGTGCACGCTCTGATCTTGTGCGGCGGATCCTGTCCGTATCGCACAGCAGTGCGCGGATGGATCGGGAGATCGACACTGAGTTCGAGGAGGTGGCCCCGGATGATGACGAGCTCACTGGCTTACCTGATGCGGCTACCAGGTCGACCCTCCCTTCTCCACCGATGGATTTGTTTCGTCCCGCACCGTCTCCGAAACCTCGCTTGCTGAAAGTAAGTGATAATCCTTATTTCGGACACAGTATTGTGAGCAACAAATTAGATTACAACAGTGAGCAGTCCTTTGCAATGAACCAGTCGCAGTTTCAGGCCAATCAGGGTTCTTCTCCTAGTCCTAGTGCTTACCATACGCATGAAGCACCTGCACTGGCTTCAGCTACATGTCGTACTCGTACTGGGCGTACACATACCCATACTAAGGTTGCATGCTCTACTCCGGAGCCAAAAGCGGTCCACGTCCACCGTCAGCCCGTACATGTTGCTTTTGGTGAGAATTCCGTGTGTGGAGATACTGGTAGTACTAGCACGCACAAACTGAGTGATCAGGCGCGCACTTAGGCCAGCATTACCACTAGCACTAGTCGTACACGTACAACCGCAGGTCCGCATGCCCGGCACGTGCACGTGCACATCGATCCTGCTGCTGAGAACCCTGAGGCTGAGGCTGAACACGAACAGCGTTCCGCCACCGATGTCGATAGTGTCGATGTCGACTCGCCGTCCCAGCTGTCGATGCTCACGCAGTTGGTCTTGCAAATGGCGCAAGTGCAACTCACTCAGGCCACACGGCGATTCTCGCAGAAGGTGCCACTGGCTAAACTGTGCCCTGGGGACGATGTTGAGGCATTCCTCACCAGTTTCGAACGATCAATGCGGGCGTACAGAGTTCCTCCGGACGATTGGGTCTATTTGCTAAGCTCCCAGCTGACTGACGAGGCCTTGTTGGCATACGCGGTACTTGCCTCCACCAGGGCTGACATCTACTACCGCGTGAAGGAGGCCATTCTCCATCGCTATGCAGTTACCCCCGAAACGAGCCGCCGTAAATTTCGGGGCACTACGCTGCAGAGCTCGGAGTCCATGATTGACTTCGCCGTTCGTGTCCGTGACACTGGCAGTCATTGGCTAAGCCCCGCATCCTCGCGGGAAGCCATAATTATGTGAGTTGATCCTACTGGAACAATTCTTGTCTGCGCTGCCTTTTGGTTTACGCACTTGGCTGCGGGAACGCAAACCGTCGTCCCTCGACCAGGCTGCTTCGCTAGCGCAGGACTATCTTGACGCACAGGACCGCGTAAAGGAGCCCAGCAGTGCTCGTCTCAGCAGCGGCAGGGAACAGTGTCTTGTCTGCCACATTTGCCAGCAGCGTGGCCACATGGCCATGGATTGTTCTAAGCGACGGGCACCATTGCCGAACACTGACGCACGTGCCCAGGTGCAGGGGACATTCGCGTCACCCCGAGACCGGACGTCCGTGTCATCGAACCTTGCTCGAGTTCGCTGGCCTGCACCAACCTCAGGCTCAGCGTGGGACCGGCCAGTATCTTCCCCAGATATATCCAGTCAGACCCACTTGTCATCTGACCGCCCAGTGACTTCTCGTCCTGACCGTCCCACACCACCACCGAGACGCCCCATGTCGCAGCCGCGCTTCTATAAATGCCGTGAGCTGGGACATATTGCTATTAAGTGTCCGGATCACACTCGCACCGCTCTGTTTTCCAGCCCAGATCAGGAAGTCCAAGATGCTGGTACAGTTCATTTGCTGCCGGATGAGGATGATCTGCTGGGTGAAGCACATTTCTGCTCACCCCCTCCACCTGTAGAATCTGGTAGGTTGACATCCGCTAATCCCAGCGCCGCCATGGTACCAGCACCCGAGTACACCGCCGCTGGGTACGTGGATGGTACCCACGTCCCGAGCATTGTTGTTGATACCGCGTGTGGCCGCACCATGGTACACAGGACCTTGGTCCGGGACCAGGAGTGTGGCCACATCATGGTACACAGGACCTTGGTCCGGGACCAGGCGTTTGGCTGCACCATGGTACACAGGACCTTGGTCTGGGACCAGGATTTGTCTGGTGAGAATACCTCCATTCGTTGTGCCCACGGTGATGTGGCCAGTTACCCCATGGCCGATCTGACCATCACCATCGACGGCATGGTGTACTATGTCAAGGCAGCAGTGTCCGAGAACCTGCCCCATCACGTGTTGCTTGGCCGTGATGTGCCCCACATACACGAGTTGGTCCGGCTGTGTCAGCCAGCCGCCACGGACGTCTTGGTTTCTACGCGTGCACAGGCCAAGGCTTCACCTGATTCGACTGGTGCTGCTGGTTTGCACGACATCTTCCCGTTCGAGGATGAACTGTTTGAGGATTTGGCCTCGAATGACGCTTCTTTGCGTGCACCACCGGCGGACCTATCTAGCACACCGGAGGTGACACCGCCGCCTATCTCTGCACCCGATTTGCCAGATGCCACCTGTTTCGCCGACGAGCAACGACTTGACCCATCTCTTAGCCCATGTTGGGACTATGCTACTGGCCGACACAAGACGCCCGTCAATGGCAGTACCTTCTGTGTTCGCCAGGGCCTCCTCTACCGAGAATACTTACCGGATGGTGTAGCTGGGATGGATACCACCAGCCCCTACTACCGC